TCTCCGCCCCTGCCTCTATTCCCCACCTTCCCACTTCCCCCCTGCTCTCTACTACCCCTCTCCCCTTCTCCGTCTCCTGCCCTCCATCTCCCCTTCCTGAACGGCCTGCCAACCACCCTTTACCTCTTCGCATGCCCCCTCTCTCCACCACACCCTCCCTCCTCTCCATTACTTCTCCTCCACACCCCCACCCCGACCCCCGGCTAGTCCCTCTCCACCAGAGCCCACAGCACAAAGTCACCAAAACAAAGAAGAGTATAGAGCCAGCTGAGTTTAATCTGTATACACGGTGCGTGCACATTCCATAGGTGAATACGTGTGCACGCGCTGGACGTGCAGAGGCTGTGTATACGCGCACACGTCTAATAAGTGCGTGTGCACACAGGTCAAGCGCGGCCTGCCGTGGTCTATCCCATCAACATGCTGTGTTCTCTAGGCTCACAGGGAGGGCAGGCAGTGACTGGCCACTTCAGCTGCAGGTTTTGGGCAGGCGGTAGACGCCGGCAGAGTAGACAAGCTGGTGGTCACGTACTTTCTTTTGCAGGTAGCCCTGGAGCTCCTGCAGGTCAATCTCAGCCAGCGCGGGCCCCGTCATGACGAACATGCGCAGCATGCTGTAGATTCGCTCCAGGGACAGGCTCTCGAGGTTGGTGAGCATGGCCTGGATGTAGGTCCAGAAGAGCTGGGCGGGCGGCAGGAGACGCTGGGACTAGGTGCCACGGGAGCGGCCGGCACCCCTGGCACTTTGCTGGCCATGACCCTGCTGTGGGCTAGGGGCTCCGAACTCCCCTGTCCTACATGAGGGTCCATGCCACTGGACATGCCCTAACCGCTCTAAAGCCCCACCTCCAACCTCCCTTTTCCTTCCACTCACCCACCAGCCTGTCCTGCCCTCTTTCCCCCCAGTCACGGTTGTAGGCCCCTCATGGGCTCCAGAGACACCTTCCTGCCCCCACCCCCCTCCCTGCTGCCCCCTCACCAGTAGCTCCTCCTCCTTCTGGTCAGCCTGGGAGGCCATTCCGGAGTCACTCTCCTCATCACTGTCCATCAGCACCATGCTGTCCCGGTCCTGGGGCCGCTCCTCCTCAATGACTGAGAAAGTGCCAGGGGGCTCTTCCCGCAGCACACCCTGCTGCAACCACACTGACAGCCGGCGCCGCAGCAGGGCCACCGGCATCTTCACCGCCTTGCTCAGCTCCTCCAGCGTCCAGCTGGCTGTGGGCAGGGAGTGAGGACACTGAGGGCCCTAAGGCGGGCAATGAGGCCTCCTCCCTTCCTACTCTCAGGATCACGGGGACTGGGGATGTGGACAGGCCGCAGACATGACCAGGGTTGGGAGGGTGGCCTGAATCCTGCCATCGGGTAAGCGGGCCCAAGGTCAGGCTCAGACTCACCTTGCTCCTGGAAGTACAGCAGAATCACAGCCTGGACGGGCGTCACGGCCACAGACAGTGTGCGGTCAGTCAGCTCCACGTCCATGGTCACCAGGCCCAGCGTGTGCTTCCAGCTGAGGGTCCGCATGGCCTGCACAGGGCCCAGGTCAGCATGTGGATCTGGGTCCTGACGCCTTGGACTGGGGGACCAGGGCCATGCTGGGCTGGGGCTGCTCTCAGTTCTCTGGGACCCCAGTGGCTCTAAGAAAATGCTGACCGGTGACCATGGGGCTGGAGCCATATTGGGTCGGGGCTATCCCAGGGCCCTTGTGACCTGAAATGGCTCTAAGGGAGAGCTGACCTCAAGGCCCTTTGCCACCATAGGGCCAGGAGGACCACACGCAGTACCTTCAGCTTTTCGTATTTCTTGCAGTAGACGTCCAAGGCCTCTTTGATGTCCTCGGGAACCTCCAGCTTCTCATCCTTAAAAGGCGGCCAGAACTCACTGGACAGGATGACTGCGTAGACCCCAAACGGCGGCTGCTCGTCGGCAGGACGCTTCTCGTCCTCCTCCCGGATGTTGGCATTGATGCGCCTGGAGTCTGCCATATCCTGAGGAGGGGCTGTGTCACCAGAGGCCAAGCCAACGGGAGCCTGCGGGTGGGAGGCCGGGCCAGGCAATGCTCACCTTCAGCATGACCTCGCAGAAGAGCATGGGGGCCTCTCCAAAGCGCAGCTTCAGCAGCTCCACGTTGCGGATCTCCCTGCAAGGCGAGGCGGTCAGGCTGTGTCCCTGCACATACTGTGCCCTCTAGATCGGGGCTGCGTCCGCATCCAGAGTTGTGTCCTCATCTGAGGTTGCAATGTCTTCTAGGGTTGCAGCCCCACAAGTCCCTAGTGAGAGCTGTCCCCCATCCAATTCTGTGTCCCAGGAACAGGAAGCATGGCCTGGCTGGCCCCTCCTCCAGCCCACTGCTCCGGGGTGGGCAATACCTGGAGAACGGAGCTTGCTGGGGCCTGTGCACATGGGGCTGACCAGAAGGGGTGGAGCTCAGGTGGGGGACGGTGACCACCAGAGCACTCACCGCTCCGGGCTGAAACTGAACTGGTGCAGGAGGCGGTCAGCGAGCAGTGAGCGGTACTCGTTGATGAAGAGGTCTTTGCTGCCGTAGATGCTGACCAGCAGGCTGATGATGTCAGAGGAGCGCCGCTTGGAGCTGGACTTCCCTGCACGGAGCAGGGGAGGGGACACTGCTAGCACCTCTGTGAGACAGGGGTGCCCAGCCAGGCAGCACAAGGGGCTCCAAATCTACTTGCCCACCAGGTCCCACAGTGCTGCCCAGACGCCCCTCCTCAGGCTTGGGGAAGAAACAGAATGGCCCCGAGTTTCCTCTCAAAGACTGAGAAGTTCATCTGGGCCCACAAGGGTCCCACACCAGTGAGCCCAAGTCAGCCCGCAATCTGTGGCAGAGGAGGTAAAGGGGCAGGTGACGACCCTGCAGCCCTGAACCTCAGAGATCAGGGGGAGAGGCAGACCTGGGTCAGCGTCCACGGGGTCTGGGACCCAGTCCTCAGGCTCGCCCGAGTCGTCCTCACTGTCTTGACCAGTCTCCAAGCTTGAGGGGTGGGTCTTGGACAGTTCAACAGCCAGGTCCCCGGTCCCATCGGAGTCCCCGGTCAGCCCCGCCACAATCTGCCGTACTGTGTCCTCCCGTGTCCTGTGGGGCCACAGCGTGTCCCTGGTGTGTCCCTGAGGGCATGGGGACTGGGCAGAAGTCATGCAGGGAGGCGAGGCTGAAGGAAACCTCACCTCAGGTAGCGGCGGACGGGCTCACAGGCCACCTCCAGGATGACCATGGAAGAGTCCAATACACGCAGTGCCTTGATGGCCGAGATGTAGAGTGTGATGATGTCACACGTGTTCACGCCTGAGCCAGAGGGGCCAAGAGGTCACGACGCACCGATGGCGGGGCCACACCCCACGCAGCAGTCCTTGAGCCGCTAGAGGAGGTAACCCTAGCAGAGGGCCTCCAACATACTGCCAGGACCTCGAGCCCCAGACCTGTGGCCTGGCCAGGGAGTCCTCCCCTCACAGGCACCTTCCCAAGTACTCTGAAGAGCAGCCACCCCATGCCAGGGTCTTTGCCAGTGCCACAGACCATCTCTGCCCCAGAACCCAGCTCATCCCACAGGAGGCCTTGGCTGTCACGGCTCCCTGAAGGCCCTGCAGTGGATCTGTGAGGGGTACACGCACCTGGGTGCAGGAGTCGGGTCTCCAGGGCTGCCTTCAGGGACTTGAGCAGCTGCTGTCTCTGGTTGGTCCTCCCCAGGCAGTACCTGAGGTCCTCCACGGCCGGCCGCGAGTCAGGGAAGTCTGCAGGGGGCACGTGCTCACGCTGGGACCAGCAGCCGAGCAGCATGGCTGGGCAGCACCCCCTCTCCCCGAGGACGTGGCTCAGACCATGAGCTCACAACATGACCCTGACCAGCTGTGGTCAGACAGACAGGGGCCTGGGGGCAGGGCAGACCTCGGATGATGCTGAAGAACTCCTCGATACGCAAGCCCGCGTAGATGCGGTAGAAGAAGCGCTGAACGTGGCAGCGCCAGCGACGCAACATGGTGCTGGCCTCCGGAGACGCAGGCCTGGCCTGTCCATCCTGGAGGAACACTCTGCTGAGCCAGCCAACCACCCTCTCGATCCACTGTGAGGAGAGGGCTGCGGTTAGGGCAGTGTGCCAGCCTGCCAGGACTCTGCAGTCACTCACGGACAAGATGGTACGTAACGGAGTCCCCTCCACAGTGTTTCCTCGGGAGGCGACCACACCTCATCCAGCTGGGTGGCTGACAAAGCTCTGACGTTCAGTCAGTCTAGATGGTGCACCTCTGGTTACTGAACTTGAAGCAGCGGCTTGCCATCCCTGCTGACCTGGACACCTCAGCCTCTACAGCTGAGTCAAGAGAAGCCCTAACTGACCCACCGATCTGAGACCTGTCAGCCTCTACAATCATAGAAATCATCCGCAAAAGGGTCAACTTCTTTCAGGAATCCCATTTTGCTAGGTGAACCTATGACACACCTTGGCATCTAGCGCAGAACGCCCGCGTGCCCCTTATGCATGTCCATGACCTGGGGCGCGTGCCTTGAGGGTAACTGCAACCACTGTCCCGTCCTTTCAGAACAAAACCATGCGTAACCCTGCACACACGTGTGTGCTCTGTGGACCACTGTGCTGTAGGAGGCACTGCCTGAGAGCAGAGATCACTGACACTGCCACCCCAGGCGTCATACTGCTCCAGCACCCGGACAGTGGTACTTTCCCCAACGGACCTGCCAGGACCCAGGTCCCTCTGCTGTGCATTAGGGGAACCCTCACTTTTACCTCCCTCTAGACTAGAAGTTGTGCTGCCAACCCTAAGGCATGCAGTTCAATTCCACCAGCTGCTTCTTGGGAGCTCGACAAGCAATCTCCTGCAGTGTGACTCACAGCCTCTGAAACCTGCTGGAGAGTCAGCTATAGCTCGGCTCCAACTCAATGGTGCACAAGAATACACAGCACGTTAACATTTACCTGCAGGGTACACCCCTTAGAGGGAGAGGAGCAGGATGAACCGTTTATTTTCAGAGTATACTCCTTACAGGTGGCGAAAGGAGAATGAACAGGATATGGGGAGCTGGGGAGAGATGCCAGGAGGCTTGGACCCACCAGTTCTAGGGTGTCGGACCTGCCTGAGAGCAGCACCAAAACACGGAGGCTCAGACGGAATATAAACCCATCATGCTATGTCATCCCACCATCTCCCCATCAGCTTTTTTGCTCCCCCCTGCTTTTCTCCTGCCACATGGGGGTGTGTACCCCACATTGGGGTACAGGCGCTGCAAGGAGGGTAGCAGAGAGAGAAGGGGAGTCTAGCCACATCACCCCGACCCAGCACCACATCCAGCTCAGGGACTCCGCAGAACCGTGCAGGTAAAGGTACTGAAGAAGTCAGAGCCCAGGCTGTATCCTGGCCCATTTCCAGAGGGGGCGGGGCCTCACCTTGTGGAACTCCCGCAGGAAAGAGCGCTCATACTCGCCCCGGCAGCGGTCCTCCATCCTCTCTCGGGTCACCTGGTGCAGTGTGGTGGTCACAGCCTCGGCACTGACCCGTTCCAGCAGGTTTAGCCTGTGTCTGAAGAGGGGCAAGTGTGTGATGGACGATGTCCCTACCCTCAGCTCATCTCAACAGACAGTGATGCCAGCGTTGTCTCAGAGAAGCTGTCGGGAGGACACAGCAACAGCACGGCACAACTCTGGCTGCCCAGCTAGTACATCTAAGTTGGGTAGCGGCTGACCCATTGGCAGTGTCGCAGAGTGGCTACCAGAGGCCTAAGCCCTATCTCCCCAGCCTGAATCAAACACAGTACCAAGGTCACTGCACACCAGGCTCTTGTAAACAACAGTAACCTCGTTATTCCTTTTCACAAAATCCCTGATCTAGAGAACTACGTTAACTCACGAAGGGACAAGATAAGCATTTCAAGCAAAGGCAAACTGGGCTGAGCCCGCGGCAGTCCCTGGCCGTGCGACTGCTCCCTTGCTCCAAATCCAGCTAAAAGACTCCTCAAAAACAGAATCACTAGGGGAGCTCTGGTGGCCTAGTGGCAAGAAGCTGCACTGCAATCCCAGAGGAACACGGTTCGAATCCACCAGACGCTCTGCCGGAGAAGGAGGCGCAATATCCTCCTGTACCAGTCAGATCTGATTTGACGGTACACGTACACAAAATTAAAAAAAAACAAAAAAAAAAAACAGAATCACTGCTGTCGCTCCAGCAGTCTCAGGGACCACGGCCCCATGGAGAGAACACACGCAGGTCTGCAGCAAGTACAAGCCACTCGGAAGAAGGAAACCTCCTGCTCACAGTCCTGCCACACCTCCTGGGGGCTCTCAGCTGGAGGAAATGACCAGCTCCCGTTTCCTGCCTTTGATCACAGCAATCAACACCTCAGGCAGACTCCTGGGAGAGGAAAGGTCATTTCTTCTCCATAGGTGAAAGCCAGCACACAGAATTCTAGGACACCTGGAAATTTGGAATTGGCACAGATATCTGTAGTCACAGCCCTACTTGGTCCCGTCCAACCTGCTTCTAGGTGGAGAAAGGCACACCTAGCGATGACAGATGCTGCCACTAGCCAGGGAGCCTCCTTCTAGATGTCGCTGGCTTTGTGGACAGGGGGAGTACGGCCTGGTCAGCCCACTATAACCAGATCTAGGAGGAGCAGGGGCTCAGGAGGCTGGGGCTGTGGCCTCAGAGGTACTCACAAGACCTGGCTGAGCTGCTGAAACTGCTCCAGGGCCTGGCGACACCAGCACTGCTGCCTGTCACTGCCGCAGCCGGCACACAGCGTGCTCTGCAGGAGCCGGTAGTACCGGCGACGAGCGTAGCGGCTGTCCAGCTCCCCCTCCAGCTCTGGGTCGGTGCCCCCCTCGCCCTTCCTCTTGCTCTGCATGTAGACTCTCAAGAAGCGTCCGTAGAGGCGCTGGATCATCTCCTGGAAGGTCCTGGGCGTGGAAAAGAACAGGATGCCCCGCAACATGGTGTGGACCTTTTCCCGCAGCCCCTGCGCACGCGCGCCCACGAGCAGGCCCAGGCGAGACCACTTCTCCAGGAGCTCCAAGCCGTGCAGGTAGGGATCCAGGCGGCTCTCCAGCAGGCCGAAGGCGCCGAGGAGCAGCAGCAGGCACTGAGGCTCGTCCGCGGCGTTCTCGTGCTGGGCGACGGCATTCCAGAACTCCGGGGAGATGTTGTTCTGCAGGTCGTTCTGCAGCACCTCCACGAACCACTCCTCCAGGACCGAGTGAAGCCCGTGGCCCCGCAGAACCTCCACCGCTGCCCGGAGCTCCTCTTCCTTCGGTGGGACGGCCCCGCTGGCCCGTGACGACGCCTGTAGTGAGGACAACCGTGGGACGGGCGGAACAGCGACCGAAACGGGGAGTGCACCGCAGCAGCGGAAAGGCCACTGCTCCGCAGCGCACGGTAGGGGCCAGGGAAGGGCTGCGGGGCC